TAGAAATTGGGTTATTGTCAACCATTGATGATTCTCCCTTTTTGCTCTCTTCCCTGCCTCTCTTATTCAACTCTATTCCTGTGCCTGTGAGTGATGTAAAAAAAGAGGGATTAGAAAGAGATGAAAGGGGTTGTGGGAGAAGGAAGACAGAGGGAAGAAGCAACAGTATTGACGTCACGGCCACGTTAAGTAGGTCAGGTATGAAGTTGTGATGTCACTTACATTGAACACTACCCGCTGGGCCAATCACGCGCAGAGACACGCCCCCTTTTCACACCGCAAAGACATAGAAATGCAACCCCTCGTTCCTGCAGCTGTCTTAAATCACAGGCACGCAACAACTTATGGGTACTTTCCTGCTGTTGACTGCCATCTCCAAGGAGACGCACTAACTCTCTCATCTTTATCTCCCAAAGCCTCTCTTTGTGATGTTCTTTTGATTGTTAGCTTCATACAAATCCACTTGTCCTTCATCAAGACTTCATAGGAAGGGACGTGTTGAAGTGTGTGTATAGGAGTGTGTGTCGTGTGTCTCGGCAGTGAGAAGGATTTATGCTGAGGCTGAATCGAGGATAACATGAGAACAATGTATTTTCAACTCAAATGCAAATGAATCCAAGTAAGAAACCATTGCCGTTTTCAGTATCACTCTCGACCTAATTGGACAACATTTGAATACGTGCTGTAAATAATTGAGATGATGTTTGAGTACATTGTTAGCCAGTGTGTTAAATAAAAACCAGTGTTTCCAGTCTTAAACTAAAACCATATCATTATGTTTTAGTTTATCAATTCAAAAAGTTAATAAGATGGACTTTTGTTGTTGTGTTGACAATTTGAATAAGGTATTTAGGATCACACAAAGATAATCACGTGTCCTCAGCATACAGTATAATCCCAACCCATCTTCATGTGGTTTTTACAGCAGATTGTAAGAGTTTCACAACTCATATTTCTGAGTGCAGATGAAATAAAACAAGTCGCCTCAATTTCTCAAATGAATATTTTGCAATCCAGATAATCAAATACAATAAGGCACTTGCAAGGCCTCATTAACTCTATAAATTACACCAAATGTGCACATTACACATACTGCATAAAATGTCCGGACGTATTTGCGTATATTTCTGTAAGAGAAAACAAAGTTTACTTCAAATTCCCAGATTCACATAAGGATAGTTTTAATAATGTATTGCATTTCTTAATATGAATTCCATTTGAATTAATAAATCCATGTGTGCTTTAAGATGCCCCATGTTTTTAATGTTGCATCAGATGAAGGGAAAATACTTGAAGACCAGGAGTGTATAGGTTTTTAATATAGTGAGCGGCCACAGTGTCCCCTTCTTATAATATCAGGTCATGAGATTAATAGAGGAGCGGAACGACGGGTTCATCAAAAGAGTGTGTCCTTGAACACACTGATTATCTTCTCTCTGTTTCTATCTTCAGATCAATTACTAGATTAATAGACTTTTCTGTAAATTGACACTTCCGTTATTATAAGGATTCGATCTGGATATACAGTACAAGTTCTGATTCAGCCATTAAAACACAACATTTGACTTATTACTTTAATTTATCAGCTTTTTCGTTGGAGTTTTAAAACAGCTTTAATTTCTCTTCATTTGTAACCCTTCTGTTTTGGCTAAAAGGTGCAAACAGCCCAACAGCTACAGCATGTTACTGCAATTACACTCATTGACTAAGGGCTTAATCTCAGCAATATAATCAGTGTGTGTGAGGACGGCTGTGGCTTTGATTGAATGTGGATGTAGTTAATCACTCTTGATGCATGTGTCAGCGCAGCGCCTGGAAAGCAAATGTTTGTGTCTGTATTAAAGGAATCTGTTGGATGGATATGAGAGGAAAAGTGACCAACAGAACCATTCGAAATGTTCGGGCATGTTTTGTGAATAAGTGAATAAGGCTGCTTTAGAAAACGTTTTTTGGTCAAGTTCAAAGTAACTTAAAGAGGATTTACCCAGAAAGTTGTATATATTGCAGAAAACCTATTGAGATAAAGTGTGTTAATATCAAAATGTCAAAAATATGATTTAATTTGTTCACTTTTACGGAAAAACACCCGCCCAAATTGTACTTCCGTCCTTTCTGCTAAAATTAAAGATCTGACAAATACTCTTTTGATTACATCCACCTCCCATGGCTCCGTCTCAAAGGTTCAATTATGATTGAGTTCAAATCTCATCCCTTATAGCACTGAAGTGAATTACACCTCACTGTGGCGGATATTTGCTTGACCCAGCGGGGGACCTTGAGTATAATGAAAGGGTGGGCGGCACCTTCTGAAACTGATAATGTTCTGTAATGTAATCGTCTGTTTTTGTATTAATATGATATTGTATGCAGTGCCATTTTGTTATGTCACATCCTGCTCCACTTGGCTTGTCTTTTGAGCTCAGCAGCCAGTATTTCATCAGAAAACAAACACTTCCACTCTGATTGTTCTGTGTACGCGTTAGATTCATTGTGTGTTTTTGTTTTTGGATGGAACGACCGTACGGGCCATCATTTATTCCTCTTGCTAACATTTTCATTGGCAGCAACACAATACAAAATCCTCCGTACCACTCAAGGACATGTTTACACTTGGAGTTATTTGTCCCAGCGCTGAGGGACTCAAGGCAAGGCAAGTTTATTTATACAGCACTTTTCAACACAAGGCAATTCAAAGTGCTTTACAAAAAATGAAAGACATTCAGAAAATGCCATTTAAAATCAGTCATTAAAAAGAAAGGCTAATAAAATAAACATTAAAAGAAAAAATACATGGATAAAAGTTACAGTGCAGTTTAAGATGTGAATAGTTCAATTAAAAGCAGCGGCAAAAAGAAAAGTCTTTAGTCTGGATTTCACTCAAGGTGTGCCAAATATCCCCACAGACCCCCCCCCCCCCCCCCCCCCCCCCTAATGTGCAGAACTAGTTGATATAATAGAGAAAGGAAAGACTTTACATCTAACTCTGAACCTGCCATGACCTCAGAGGCCGACACGTGGTTTGGTAGAGTGCAGGTCACAGTGATATCTCAGCCAGTAGCCTTGGCTCAGGACTGATTTAATGTCTGAGTTTGTTTCGGGTCACACAGAGTTCAGGTCATGCAAAGGAGGAAGACTCGTATATCTTATCCATTTAATCTCAGCTGTCCGGCGATGATAGCACAGCTCGTTGTGGTTTTGAGAAACGTGGCTGAAGCTCATGATGGAACTGAAGACATTTGAAGAGACTTGAACACATTCTCTGTTCATTTGGATCTCTTTTAGATAAACATGCTAGTCCCCTAAGAGTCCATATTATAAAATATACTATGCTTATATTCTATATAAATGCAATATTGTTAAAAGGAATAGTTTGAGATATGCTTTTTTGTAAACGCTAAGCCCACCATCTTGGTGAGGGCCATTTGGGAAGACACTCGCCCATGTAAAATGAGAACATGTCTTTGGGTTTTTGTACGCATTAAACAAACAACTTAAAACATGTTAATTAGTGAGATTTGAATGTGCTTGTAGGCAGATTTTGGAACTAATGCAAGACTCAAACATCGTGTTGTGAGCACTACTGCCAATTCTACGCTTTTCTAAGTGTGACAAAAATGTATTTTTTATTATATTACCTCGTTTGTTTGTGTTCATGGAGGCTTTGACAAACATTTGTTCATAGTTGCTCCCATAACATACCTATACGTGTTGTACCAAAGTCATTGCTTTTGTATGCTCGTTGGCCCGTGTTGATTGTAAATTAACACTTAAAACCAACAATGTTTTCCCCATGTCCTCTGAAGTATTCTACATCATCGTGAAAGCAGTTTATTTTTAGTTCAAATTTAAATGCTTGCAATACTTGGACACAGTTTCCCGCCTTAACTTTTGAGGACGATAAGTCTTGTCCAAAACATTAAAAAGACATCAACAGCAGATAATTTATTCCGAATCCAACCTCTGCAAAAACTGGATTCTCTTGCACTGAACATAGCTGGAAAATGTAGAATGCCATTATTAGGTGTAGCATTTAGAAAAGAGTTATACAAATGAAAGCCTGTGTGTGTCATTTGGGGAAACTATGACTTACATAACCAGAGCTGATGTTCTGCTTCTCATGCTCTGCGTATGGGCAGTACAGATTCAGCTGGGATTACGTGTGTCATGTTTATTTTTCCCTCTCTTGCTTCCTATGAAAGGGCTCATTATTCATCTGAGCTAAAGAAACCGAGTGATGCAAGGTCACTGGTTTAAGTGGAGGAAGAAATACTATCAAAGGCTGAGTGGGCTGCAGAAGAGAGAGAAGTATTTTTACACAAACTCACATTCTTATATGTGTCATACATCACTTTGTCTAAGTATTCCAGACAGTGTATCACATAGACCTTTTATCATAGCCGTTAAGCCACGTTTAAGTAAGCTGTTAAATTGTAAGTGCCAAGCTCAAGTTAAAATGTGTTTAAACTTTGGCTAAAGTCGAAGCGTATCAAACAAATGTCCACAACTCCAATAAAAAACATTTTATAGTTATATCTAAGTAGAAAAACAATTATTTATTGTAATTTACACCTGCTTTCTCCACATGGCAGTGAACAAGTTTTATTTACATGATGTAATCAGGGAAATTAATGTAAGTTCCTTTTTTTTTTTTTAATGAAATATACCCAGTTGTACCCCAAACTCTTTCAGGGAACATTGGGAACTACAACGCCCCCTTCAGAGACTCGAGCCCATGTTCAGACCACCAGACATGTCCTCAATGCTTGTCTTTATTTTGGACCTCCTAAAATCGAAAAACATGCATTCTCCTGCTTCATGACCCATTTCTGACTTCAGGTGTAAACAAACACACCTGGAGTCGAACCCGCTGGCTCGAGCCCAGGCGGGAATGCTCGCGCGTTTGGCTCAGTTTCACAAGCTCAACAAGGGTGGACTGTACCAATGTGACTCTTAGATGGAGGGGGGAGCCAGACAGATAAACACGCAATTATCTCTCGATATTTGACATGCATTTAGTCGGGTCCAAACCGGAGCTGCCACAAGGTTCACAAATACTGCCCTTCACTTATTCTGAATCAAATAACACATTTATATCGTAGGTGTTTTTTGTTTTATTTCAGGACAACTTTTCCCAACACCCCTAAAACACCGCAACATCTTGCCTTTTGATTGACCGCTGCATATATTGTTTTTCTGTGTGCTGAATTTTCCTCCTGCTGGAAAAGGATAAAAAAAAAACAACACAGGGGAAACTGAGGAACAAGGCACAGTGGAAAATACAGGAGGTTGAAGGAAAAAGTGAAATAACAAGAGACTTGGAGGAACAGGTTGGGAAGAGAGCAAGAAGACAAGTGAGAACCAGACTAAGAAATCCTTGCTTTTGTGTGGAGATTTTTTTGTTTCCTATCTGCTGATTAAAGGTGAGTTTAACCCGTTGCTGTTTTTTCTAGTAGGATTATAAAAAAAACGTTTTAGTTTAAGTCAGGGAGTAGCCTGTGCAGTCGTGCAACAAGGGACAGGCAAACATGTTTATTGTGCAGGGATGCAACGTGGAACCATCTGTTTAATAATGCATTATGCACACCCAAAGTCCCCCCCCCCCACCTAGGTTTTCCCCCTTTATTGAATTAAAAAACACGCTGCTATCAACCAGAAAAACAGCCAACTCTGCAAGACATTAATATTTAAATGTGTTTACAAGCGCCGATTCAAAGAAGGACTATTTAAATGGCATTTTGCATGCATGGGATCCTGATAATAGTGCATGTGTGATTGGGAGAGTGCGTGTTATTGAGACGCACATGTGGCACAGCCGTCAGTTCTTTGTTCCTCTCCCCCCACCCCTTATAATAACGGAGCCAGGCATGACAGCTCAATGGCATGCATGCAGAATTTGGGCCAATATTGACATCCTACTGGCGCATGAACTGGAATCATATATGAACCCCCCCTCTATACATCCCAGTCTTGCATTTTACCCAACAGCATCATCAGCATTGCTCTTCTTTTGTGGTGTTTGTGGTATTTCATGGTTAAATACATATTGTTATTGCGAAAAAAAAGGTTGCCTTTGTCTCTTTTTCAAGAGAAAGAGGGGGTTAGAATAGGGCTGTCTGAGGGGGGGGGGGGTTGGGTCGAAAGGGGTGTTGTGGCTCTTGGCATGCCAGAGGAGGGGATATAAAATGTGTCAATGTCAAATGGAGGTGTGTCTCTGTGTGCGTTCATTGGGTCTGTGGTGCCTTGGTTTCTTATTTTTATATTTTTTAAACTGGGGGAAAAAAATCATGCAAGTCCTCAAATGATCCGTTTCGGAAGACTCCCTTATGGAATATATTAAAGCCTGTTTTTCTTCAGTGTGTCGTGTCAGACCAAGGACGCACGCACGCACGCGCACACACACACACACACACACACACACACACACACACACCACACACACACACACACACACACACACACACACACACACACACCACACACACACCACACACACACACACACACACACACACACACACACACACACACACACACACACACACACACACACACACACACACACACACACACACACTCAGACTACAGTTCTCACTATGCTGCATGCACGCACTCAAGAAAAGCTCACGCGCAGATTGTGTGAGTCATACCGCATTTTGAGACTTGCAGCCTGAAGTGGAGCCCCTGCTGATAACACAAACACACACGAACGAACACGAACACTTGTGCAGAAAGGCGCTTCGGAATTACACATTGCTGACCACACACACACACACACACACCCACACACACACACACACACACACACACACACACACACACACACACACACACACACACACACACACACACACACACACACACACAGAATGTCTCTTCTGAAGTACACATTGTTCATTAAGATGTTGAAATGCGCGCACAGGCTCTCTGCAAGCTTGCTCAGAAATTAAAGGCTTTGTTGATGTAGAAATGCACACACACACGCACACATGCACGCACACACACACACACACACACACACACACACACACACACACACACACACACACACACACACACACACACACACACACACACACACACACACACACACCACACACACACACACACACACACACACACACACACACACACACAGTGTACTATTTGTTTTTCTTTGTTACAAATGCTTGTGGGTGTGGTGCTACCAGTGGCCTTGTGTCTATACTTTTTGTTGTCTGTTTATCTCCGCAATTCATAAATGTGGTCGCTCAAAGACAGTATTTTATTAGAGTCAGATTACGCCCATTTCTCATAGTCTTGTCTTTTTTTCAAATCTGTAAAGTGCCTTTGTATGGCTAAATGGGCGACACGACTGGATGCAAAAATAGGTCTTGATTTTATTGAAGCCTATGAAAAAATGTCCCTACTTCTCACTTGATTTATTATCTCAGTCCACATTGTAAACACAAATTCATAGTCTTACTGTAAGTGCTAGTTTCAAATCATCAATACAGTTTTCTGTTCATTTGTCAATTATAATCCCACTAATAGTCAAATAGATGAAGAAAAAAATGCTTGCAGAGAGGACACTGTTACTTTTGAGTCTGGATGTTACATTGTCACAGTGTGGATTTGTTCAGGAGTCGAGTCATATGCTTCTGTTAAGATCAAAAGTAAACTCTTCAGCTGGCACAGTTGCTAAGTAGCCCAACGCTACATCCCCGAGTGTTTGTGTTCTGGCCAAGATCAACTTGTTGACACCATTAAACTGTGGTAGTTTTGGTCTCTTCGAAGGGAGTTTTCAGGCATTTCTGAACACACTGATAAACACAGGAAGTATTTGTAAAGTGCATTTCACAAAAGCAGGTTTGTCATTGTAAAAGCCATATATAGTGATGACCTTGTTTGTTTACTCAATTGTCTCTGCACCACTGAACGCGTTGCTTTGGTGGCTATCGACCAACCAAAACCCATTAACGACTATTGTAGCGTCATTCGACATCCACTCTGTGCATTGGGATTGTCAGTAAATGTTTGACCTTTGGCAGTGGCACTCTAAGCAGAGTTGACTTAAAGGTAAACCGGGGTCCCTTCGAGTGGAAGAACTGGCAACCGTAAAAGAATAAATATAGGACGACATTTACCAGAACTGCTGTAAATATTAAACATTTATATTGCGTGTTTGCTTTATCTTCCAATGCACAAATTGACTTCCTCCCATGTTGGTGTGGGGGGGGGGAACTTGCTTGAGCGTATTGAGACGGTCACCTTGCCTGTTTACTCTACTAATATTAACATTTAGTCCCGTGGTGTTTGCCTATCCATCAGTGTTGACTGCAGGGGAAAACGATATGCTTGACCTGCTGTAGTCGGTCAAGTTTTTGTGCTTTTACAGTTCAAATCATAGTTTATTTCTGACGTTCAATGTTGGACAAGGTGTATCTTATACTTACTTAAAGATTCACATAAAACTAAAACATATTACGAGTCAATACTCATAAAACCATTCAGGTGTTGGCAATACAACTGTTTATTATATGAAAATATTGACAAATGGAGGTCATTTCCTGACTTTGAAATTAGCTACACTGATACATTTACCAATGTTCTCCATGGTGTAGCGATGAGCGGCAGTGGCTCAGTCAGTAGGGGCTTGGACTGTGAGCCGTAGGGTCGCCGGTTCAAGTCCCCGACCAGACCTAAATATGGAGTGTGGACTGCTACTTGGAGAGGTCCCAGTTCACCTCCTGCCCTGCAGTGGTGCCCTTGAGCAATGCACCGGACACCCCCCCATTAACATTGCTCTGTGCGCTGTGCAATAGCTCCTAGTATTAGACTATGGGTTAAATGCAGAGAACGAATTGCACTGTGTGCTCTGCATGTGTGACCAATACATTCTTCTACTTAGATTACGTGGATCTAAGGTCTGATAGTTGCTACGAGAAGACGCTGATAACACTTTTGAAAGGTAGATACATGTGTGCATGTGCTGCAGACTAGGCCAGAGCTATATTTGGAGGTTGATTCAGGTCCCAGAATATCATGGAATCAAATGTTGTTGTCATCCCAATATGTTGACTCTGAAATGAACTCCTCTAATTGCCCGCCAGCTGTTCGATACTTACAGATCTGTCATTGTTAGGATATGCGGCGCCAAGCCACTGATTAGATGTGAAGTATTGTTTTAGTAAGTGGACTCTGTTATTTAATGGTGTTTTACTGATTGTGCTGCAGAGCTGATGTTCAAGTCTGTGGGTGTAATTGCCTCTTCAGAGTAAGAGTTTTGTTTACTGCTCAGTTTCACTGTTCATTTACACCAGATACAAGCTGATGGCTGCTTTTAATTAGTTTGCCATTGAAACAAGTTTGAACATTGATTATTTAAAAACAAATGAGAGGGTAGTACTCTTTTAAAGCTGTGATACTATATATGTTTAGATTGAAGATGGATCAAGTGACCATGTTTATTGGAAAAGGTGTTGCTTGCAAAACCACACTTTTAAGCAATCTCTGTAATTACCCGTGGCTTAATTAGGCGCCTATAGGGCGTGTGCTCTCTTCCATATTGTATCCAGGCAGTTGACTTCAGAGTCTCAGATAAACCCACTGTATGTTCCCTGTCCAGCACCAAACAACGTTAGATACAAAGATATTATTCCCAGGTGTTGGTTGAGACGAAAACAAAGCTACAATAATGTTGATTATCGGATTTATTTAAATTAATTGACCAAAAAGTTGGCCTCTAAATTAGTGTTACTATTTTCTAGAACATTAAAGATAATGCAAAGATTGGCCAATGCTGCCTTTTATCTTATTGTAGTGACACCAGATTATTCTGTTATTCATTGGTTTATAACTCTATATAGTTACTTAAACATCTTGTTGTTCCTGAAAAACATTTTCAGAGTTATAAACTTGTAGAAATGTAATCTGTGAGATGGAAATAAGCATCACATTACAGGAAGCCAGCCAATTATTAGTTTTAAATACTTTTGAAAAATATTCGCTGTTCACATAGCGGTTTTCTCTATATGTTAGTAGACAACATATCTTGACTTTTTGGACATTTGGTTTGCCAAAACAAGAGACTTGAAGGTGTTATTGTGGTTGCAGAGAAACTGTGATTGCCATATTCTCAGTTTGACATGTAATAGACCAAAACAATTTTTATTAATGGAAATAATTGGGAGATTTAAACCGAAATTCTATGTAACTTGACATCTGTAATAGAAAGCCAAATCATTTTGTTAAAACGCATTGATGAGTTGTATTTATGAAGGAAAAACCCCTCTCTTGCTTTATTTACATGCTCTTTCATCCCTTGTGGCCCATCAGAGTGCAGCTACAGTAACTAACATCGTCTAATGTCGCACTTCCCCCTGTTGGCACTAACAGAAACATTGATTCTTCTCTGTTGACAGTACATTCATCTCAGTGTGTGA